TCTCTCTCTCTCTCTCTCTCTCTCTCTCTCTCTCTCTCTCTCTCTCTCTCTCTCTCTCTCTCTCTTTCTTTCTCTCTCTCTCTCTCTGTGGCAGGAATGAATCTTCCCGCTTTCGAGGGAAGATGCATTCCCTTTTGCACTTCTCTCTCTCTCTCTCTTCGTGTCTCTCCCTCTTCCCCCGCGTGTTTTTGTTTAATGTGTTTTTTCTTTGTTTTGTTTTTGTATTTGTTTCTTTCATTTTTTTTATTTTTTTTTCCTTTTCACTGTCACATGTCGGTAAAGGTGGCGCCCGGCCTTCAAGCACCGACCGGGCCTTCCCTTGGCCGACCCCCTGGGGTGTCGCCGCGTTAGCAGGGAAGGTCCGCGACTGATTTATGGGCCAAGTACTTGCGGTTTAATGAAACTGCGCTCCTCCCTAGGACTAGCAAGCTATTATAGGAAGTTTGTAACTAACTTTTCCACTATACTAGTCCAACACTTTAGAATGTAGTTCTCATTGCTTTCAGCTTTCCTATGAGATGTATACTAGTTAGTTGCTTATGCTTTCACTTAGGCTGTTAGTTGTGACATTGCTGTTTTTGTGACATTTTCTATCCTAGGTTGCATCACATGGACTCAGCATGGAGCTTGCTCCACATCCTATACTACTCAGTTTTTCTTTTTCTTTGGTAGAGTTCCGCTTCTTGGCAGAAGAGTGCTTGTATCTAGGCAATCTATCACAGCCCGAGGATCATGTAGCGGACCTCTGGTTGGCATGTGAGACCAGCCCCTTGGCCTGTTCTCACAGGCCTCTGTTGTATTTGGGGTAGTCCAGTCTAGGTCGGTACCTCTGTCGGTACCAGCCAGTCCAGTCTAGTCCAGTCAGTCCGATGGGGTATACCCCAGCAAGAGTCTGTATTTCGGACCATTCTGCATTCACACAGTTTTGGAGTACGTGCGTTGGAGTCTTGCGTGAGAGCTGTGCTGTGCCATCTCGCTCCTCCATCATCCTCCATCTCCATTTGTATCTTGGGCGGAGCACCTCACGCGGTGGGTCTGCCACACTTGCTGGAAGGTAGGATTGCTCGTGGTGTCTGAGATTGGTATCTCGATGGACCTTCTTGATTGCACGATTGAAGTCGTAACCCTAGTCCTTGTCCTCATCATAATGACACTTTAAGGATGAAGAATAAAATTTATTGAAGTTGTGTGCTTTGAAGTGCTCATCTTTCTTACGATACGAGGTAGATTCGACTCAGGGATGCCCAACCTGCAATTAAGATAACAATGCATAGCATACACCCCTCAAACACAGATGGCGTAAACTTAACAGTCCGGGGGTGATGCATTTGATAATTGGGGCGCTTGCCCTTAACTTACCTGTGGGCATCACGCTTGACGATGCTCATGCAGTAGTTAAACTCGGAGTTGATGATCAGGACTGCCTTCGCCATGCCTTATCTCATGGCTTTGACGAGTTGTTGCTTAACATCTTTTGATATGCGCGAGTCAAGGCATTCCTTAGCAAACGATGCGCCCCTTAAAGTTAAATTTGATGCGACCGACTTGCCAATGGGTAGTAAGAGTAATTCATATTGACAGCAAAAAAACGGATGTAGGCTTCGACCTGCGAGTAGTAGCATGGAGAGACAAATATACGCTTTCATACAAACAGTTCGTCGTACGCAGGAGGAAATTTTCCATTGAGTTTGTTGAGTATTGCATTCATGGTACAACTAGTTGAGAGTTTGATTCTCGTTGTCTTACTTAAGCAGCTCGCCCTTTAGATGTTTGATGAAGGTGCGATTCTCTTCTTCCTTGAGAAGGAACTGCTTTTTTAATTGCTCAAAAGCTTCGAGAGAGACTTGAGAGTGTGATTGCGAAGATGAAAAAAGAGGATTGAAGGGAGAAGAAAATGGGAGTTGAGGCGGCGGGATAGGAGAAGGCCAGGTAATTCGGAGAGGAGGTTGAGGGAGGGAGGGTGGGAAACGAGGTTTTGCATCTTGATTGCAAGTGCGTTAACTTTGTGAAACTCATACGAATTTTCTAGATGTATGGTAAAAAAAAAATCAGAGATATCTTGGGTCAGCGGGTTTATGTAGTCAACAATTTTTGCGGATGCAAAGATAGGGGGTAGGATATGGAGTACAACAAAAACATTTGCTTCAATGACAAACTGGGCGACTGAGGTGGCTAAGAAGGTTTTTAGCCAATGGTTCATCTGCACATAAGAGAAAAAAATACATGAAGTCATATGTCAAAGGTTTTATAGTACTACTGATTCATACTGAACCACTTTGCTTGATATTTTTATTATATATATATTGAAAGATTATAAAAGAAACTGTGCCACGTTGAGTTGAACGTGAATGCATAGATCGAATTGATATTCTTTATCCAGGGGTTTCTTTTGTACGCGTCTCTTTATTTTTATTTATTTATTTATTTATTTTTGCTAAGGGAACGAACATTGCGCTGTCAAAATCCAAGTTGTAAGCAGCGAACATCTTTTGCGGAAGCAGAGACAGGGCATAGGATAGTGAGTATAACAAAAAACATCTACTAAGGGGGCCTGAGATTGCTAAGAAGGATTTTTTTTTTTTTTAATAATTCATTCGCATATAAGAGAAAGTTACATAGTAAAAATTAAACCATAAATCAAAATGTTATACTGTACCACATGCTTGAAATTCTTCTTGATTAATATCTCCTTTTTTTTTTTTTTTTTTTTTTTTTAGATTATTGTGCCTCGTTGGACTGAACGTGGTGTGTTTTTCTTTGTTGCATTTGAATAGAGAGAGTAAGATGAGAAAATGATTGAATGGCATGGCAGAGGTAGAATGTGGATGAGGGTTCATATTCTTTGTCTAAGGGTTTCCCTTTGTCCTTTTTTTTTTTTTATACCAAATTTTAGCTACAGCAACGAACGTTGCGCTGGTAAAAAATCGGAGGAACATTCTCTGTGCTTCTTGTTTTTTTGTTCTCCTTAATGCCTTAAGCGTC